TTAATATTGATCTTGATGTGTAATGTTAAGCTTTTCTGTCTTCTAGGGATGCTGAAATAATGCAGCAGAAGCAGAAAAAAGCAAATGATCAACCGGGTCAAAGCACCAAAAAGTAGCTGCGTTTCCTGGGAACCCAACTTATCCAAATATTTATCAAAATGGATACCAGTTTAAAGAATCCAGGATATACTTCTTTTTCCCCCCCCTCTGGCTAATGACATTTCAGTATGGATTAGTTACTTAAAAATGTGTCTAGCAGCTATCCATGGCCGATGCTGCATGCACAGGGGCACTGGAGAAATTATACCTGTCGTTGCTAAGTGTATACGTAACATGTGTGTATTTTTGTATGAAAGCCCCGCTGTCGATTAATAAAGTGTATCTTTTTAGTTACTCCTTTATTGAATTCAGTGTGCTTTGCTGTCAAATGATAACGTGTGCAACAGTTTTTGGTCTTTCCCAACATCATATGGTTTATTCTGTAAGTCTGTTTTTTACTTAACTGATCATATGCATCACATATACATAGTCATATAATTTTGGGAGCATAATTATGTATATAGATCAGTGTCTCCCAAAGTGGGGTCCGCGGCCCCCTGGTGGGCCGCGAGGGTACTGCAGGGGGGCCGCGGGAGGTCATAAAAAAAAAGATATATATATATAATTATTTAATGTTAAATTTATAATGTTTTGTTTGTAATATTAAAATATTTGTGTTCATTATTTGACTTGAATAATCCACTGTAATCATTTTTGTATTACAATGTTTGTAGCAGAGGCTATTTCCCCAAAATAAAATAACCAGAAGAGCCTATTCTTAATGTTGTCTTCTTGGTTATTATTTTGGGGGGGCCACGCAGACCCGTCAGATTTTTAAGGGGGCCTCGGTGTTACTGAGTTTGGGAATGGCTGATATAGATGAATACTCTCGCGCGATAGCTTTCACCACTAGGGGGCAGCATCGACAACCTTTTTCCCCAGCCTTAAATAACGGCAAGATACTGTTTGATAAGACCATATTGTATTGCTGAGAATGAAAAAGGAATGGTGTAAAAATAAACATGCAGAACTATTTTTGAGGGCCTATTGGTCAATCTGCAGTGACATGTACGCCAAACAGAAATGTCCCCACTGTGAGACGAATAAAGGATGTCTTTATCTTAATAGTCGACTGAGGGATATTTGATCCAACCTAAATTCAGTTGTAAACTCAGGAATAACATTATCTGGAGATTTATCTGTAAAATGTGCTTGTATTGATATCGTGTCAAGAGGTGATAATCCATATGTTCATTGGGGGAAACACGCACCCTTCCTGCCAGCCCTGCTATGGGCACATGAGGCACATCAGAACAGAGAAACCACGAGCATACCTCCAGATGTCCATTTTCCATTCCATCTTAATGCCTATCTGACTTCAAGACTCTGCTGTTAGGAAAATATTTCTTTATTTAGAAGCTAAGCAGTGCAGGAGCTGGTCAGTACTGGGAGGAGAGGCCGTTGAAATACCAAGTGCCAAGAGTGGGAGTGGGATGCTGTCCTGTGGTTCAGACATGTCACCAACATTGCCTTTATCTGTTGGGTAGACAATAGCTTTGGATAGACAGTACTAGTTTACTACTGCAAGGAGAGAGGTACAATGCCATTATCATTCTACTGTAAAAGGTAAAACGAATTCATGTATTTTCCAAGTAAGCAGTAACATTTTGTAATCACCTCTTTGCAAAGTATTTTATAATTCATTTATTTAAAAAAAATTAAAATAAAGTGCTTTTTATGTACATTATAATAAAAACAACAGTCACAACCTCAATGATACAAAAAATACAGTTCACAATGTTATTTATACAGAAATGAAAGCAAAATCATGCAGGCAAGACCACATTTGTCTAGGTTCAGTCAACTATAAGCTTATGGTATTTTCTGAGGCAAAGCGGTTGGAACAGAAGTCGTTCTTTTCGGTGACGGTACAACTGAAGTATGGGATTTTTTTGGTCTATGTGTCTGCGTAATTAAGTGAAAATTATTCATGACATCAGCACATGATTTGCCTACTAGAATGAGACTGTATGAGTGTTGCTGTACAATCACTGGCCATTTTTATTAAGTTAGTTTGATCGTAGTTATTGTACAGTATCCAATTGTGAAACGAGCTGCTAATCTAATTTATACAATCGGAATGATTATAAAGGGGGAAAACAGAGGCGATTGGACTTCCTAATCAAGTGGCCAGTGTGTGCATACCAGTTGATTTACATTCATGTTAGGAGCTTTACTGAGGAGCCTGTAAAAATAAAGCATCTTGTAATGTCATTGTTTGCTTTTTCTTTTAAATAATAAAAGCATGTCATCAATAAATAATACTATCTATTATATATTTACCTTTTGGTATTTTTCACTATCAAGGTCCAAAGGTAGTATACGTCGGCTTGTGAATGCGCCGTCATTGTTGTTAAATACACAGTATAGCCTTACAGGTTTTATGTTGTCTAAAAGCAAAAGCAGCAGAGAAGAGGGAAGATGGAGAGCAGCTCCCAGTCTGCACAATTATGGGTGAGGCTGTACATTTGTTGACCCGTCTTGTGTTGTGTTTTGGGCTTACAGGTTTGGCCCAAAGAGGCCTACAATCACTGTGTGCGTGTGTGTGAGGAGGAAACGTAGACATATGGTCCACACCTTAAGGCAGAACTGGGGTCAAAATTCTTTTGAAGGTAATTCTGTTGCATCTACTAATTGCAGAACATAATGTTTCATTTTGGTAGTGTAAAAAAAAGATTTTAGAGATAATTGACTGAGCATAGATAAGAGAAATTTGTATTATTTACTATGCATTGGCTTTAAAGCATTTGTATCTTTTGTACTTTTGTAATACATCGGTTGATGGCATACACAGGATAAAGAAGAGTTACGAAATACTGTATTTAATAACTAACTTTTGTTTTAAAACTATCATTTAAAGTTCTGCTTTAAGATGTATTTTCCAACAATTTTCTGTATAGTGTATTTGAAAATGTGCAGAGCTGTGCAAGAAGGAAAATCAAAGTTGAAGTAGGCAATAAAGCACTATGGAAGAAACAAAGACAAAATGTATCAGCAGTGTTCACTCGAGTTTCAAAAGTATCTCTACAACACATCTTGCACAAGGTCCCTTAAAACACACAATAATAACCACATTGTATTTACACAACAAAAAGGTAGAAAAATCACACTGAGAATGCTGTGCAATAACTTGGTCATCTTGTAGCAGTAGCATGTCGCCACCTGCGCTGGGTTTTAATGGCAAATTTCTGTACAACATACTATAGATACTGTTAGGTTCTATGAGAGGTACAGCGAATTGGTGCCATTATGTTTCATCTAAATATACTTTTGATTATGTTTACAATACTGACTCGTACGTCTTTGGAAATCTTCTCGTTATTAGGTCTAGGGTGCAGTGAGTGTGAATGACCGCTCTGGTCCCTGTACAACTTTGATTTGAAGGAATTATATCCGTAGCAGTCAGACACGCTTGTTCTCTCAGTAGTTGCTTGAATTTCATTTTGCTGAAATGTGCAAACGCGGACACCCTGATAACTTGTGCTTTCACATTAGGCTGATGTGTTGACTTGAGCACAGTGAATGCCATGTACAGAAGGGTTACCTGGGGGATTATATTGAGCCTCATATACAGCTCTGTGCATCTACATGATTAACAGTGCATCTGCAGTCGTAACACGAGACCACATTATTCAGATGTTAACGCAGCGGCAGTTGAAATACAGTTTTTTCTCTTCATTGAGCTTTCAAGCATTAAGCAGCCAACATATGACATTTCGTTAGTGCTTGTTGAGCATTAAAGCACTCGATAGTCACTAGTAACACCTAAAACGTCAAATATTTGTAATCCAAAAGCTATACGACATGGAGTCATACAGTCTTTTTTTTTGGCCCTTATTCCATTTCAAAGTCCATCAGTCTGTTATTGTGTTAAATGCTAACAGTCTAGAGAAGTCGCCATGCACTTCACATTTGCTTATTATTAGTGCTGTGTTTAGTCAGTGAAACTTAAGACTTAAGTCTCCATTGCTATGTGCTATTCAACACTGAGTAATGCCAACAGAAAGCATGACGTTTTTGTGGTTGGTACTGGACGGATGGCACTATTGCATTTAGGTAAGACAATCAAGAGTATTTTTGGCACTTGGCACGGGATGAATGCAATGTTGTTCACATGGTACACATGTTGAGTCCCCATATCCTTGGCGCTCTCATAAACATAAAAGCCTTCTATATCCGGTTTAACTTTAAGCCAGAATAGTGTCTCTCTCAGTCATCCTGGTCAGTTCTTCCATGTGAAATAAACAAGACCTCTTAACAGCTTCTTACATTGAGGAAATGAACGCCCATAAAGTGGCCCGAGGGTTAATAAGGTTTTTTGTGGACCAGCAGTCACTGACATAAAACATTCTCGTTGCATTTCCTTCTCCCAATGAAATGTTGTTTCTTCCATGCTTTTTAGTTCATAAAATGTGCATTCAAAGGTCTTATGTGATAGAATAGATGAGATTATTCACCTTGTATGCAGACAGATCAGCTCTACTGTTAAGTCCAGTGAGATCTTTTTGAATTGAAAAACGAATCAAGAGATTGTCTATCGTTGGTATTGAATAATTTAATGACATCAGAAGATACGATGAGTTTTGTCCTCCTGGTTGTCCATTTGTACATTCAAGCACCCGTGGCCGTGACATAAGGGGCGATGGCGTCTTGTGGCCCAGGCTCAAACTGCGCTGCCACTTATTTTTTTCAGTCCCAGAGTAGCCTGGACCAACCGCTGGCTTTGGTGTGGAAATGGTATAAATGAAGTTACCTCCGCGATTCTCACAGACATGACGATGGATAAAATAAACATATGCTGTGATGTAGGAGGCTGTCAGCTTTTCCTCTCCCTGCTTGTTTGGCCCGTATCCCCCACAAAGACACAAGGCTGGCGGTTTTTAAAAATGAAATGTGTTCTTTCATACAATGGAGTCTTTTATCTCAGAGCCGAGCCTTACTCTCGGCCGTGGGCAGGTTGGGGAGTATTCGACGTGGCTTTCTTTTGCGCTGAGGGGCCTTCTGTCAGACGCCTCCGAGAAGCTCTTGCTGTTGTCCGGCGAGGACTCATGTGTGGGCGTGCTGCAGATATAGTTGTCGTTCAATGTCTGGTAGCCCTTGTGATCAGATGTAGATACAGGAATAGTGTTGCCGTTCAAAGGCAAGCTCTCCGTGGGCTTTCCTACTATTCTCGGTTTTTTCTGTTGCATATTAGGACACTCTCCTTGCTTTAACATAGACTTCATGTGATCTCTGTTTCTGTAGATGACAAACAGTGAGAATACGACCAAAGAAAAGGCCAGTAGCGCGCAGACCACAATGAGCTCGTTCCAGTAGGTTTTTGTGTGCTCTTGCTCGGAGCGAGATTGACCGGGGAAGATGATGGTTTCTTCCTGCTCCACATGAGGCGTTCGTGAGTGTCCGAACAACGTGGTGCTCTCGTGGCGCGGCTCGGCTCTCACGCAGTAATTAGCCAACAGCTGACGGAAGCCCTCCTCCTCGGACCAGCACTCGTATGTCTCCATCTTGTCTACTTGAGCCACCACCACCAGGTTTCCTTCTGGGGTTGCATACAAGGACTGGCTAGCACTGTCGCTGTAATGCCACTTCCTGCGTGCCAAGTTTGAGCGCAGCTTACACGGCAGGACTCGGAATGTGTTGGCTGGGATTGTGACGAACTGGCAGCTACCACCTAAAGAAGAAAACATTGTTAGGTCAGAATTAAGGGCTTTCTTTTGTTCCTCAAGTTTTGCACATTTGTCGTCTACCTCTTCTTGGCTACATACTTTGCAATGCTACATGTCCATTTGTGCTGACAACTCACTGAGCTGGTGCGCTGTAATTAAAGATCTGAGTGTACAAATAACACACTCACGGGAAGCTGCTGGTCTGGCAGACCTGGCACTGGGGAATGTCCTGTTACAAATGACTGAAGTATCGGCCTCCTCCACATCTTGCTGCCAGCGGCTGAGACAAAACACAGAAGACAAAAACAAATGTATTAGAGGGCCAAAGAAGAGACACTTTAACAGTCAAAGTCTTTCATTTAGATTGAGTACAACGTTGTTTTTGTGACTAAGGCCATAATGATCTGCTGCTGCTAGAGATGATATGCTCTTAAATTTAAAGCTGAAGTACCTAACATTCAAATCACAAATAAAAAATCATATCCCTTGACTTGTTTCAGGGTCTTTTTAGAACAGAAAAGTGGAAAATAGAGGACCACCTTCACACAGCTCTCAACCCAAAAAGTGAAATAGTGATTCAGAGAAGTTTCTGACAACTATATTATACAGTATATAAATAGTAGTTATAGTTTTCTAATGAGATGAAGAAAGCATGTTGTGGTCTGATTTGTTCACACCATTTTTAATTTTAGTAAAGTCTGCAGGGACAAACAATACATATAATTTATAAAAAAGTTGGGTCTCTTTTTCATAAAACGAGGGTAGTTATCCGAGAGCCATGTAAAGATCTGTTAAAGTTACACTGTCTCATTCTGATGTTATTGCTATTGCTTGAACGTTGCAGCCACAGAGAGTAGCCTCACCTGTCTGGTGGTGCCATCCTGACGTCTCGACACATCCTCCCTGTCCAGGCGCAGTACGGGTCTCGGGACAGAACACACTCTCCACAGCTCACATAGTTGGAGCAGTTGGCCACAGCAACCTCCACCAATCCAGAGTGGGACGAAACAAACAATAGACCCTTCACAAAAAAGGTACAAAAAAGGATGAAACCTGCTTTCCATACTATAATGATTACTGAAAATAAACACAAGACTTCAAGCTATACCGAGGTCTAATTTTAGCCAGCTGTTCTTCCATTTGAAACCACAAGAGTAATTTGATTACAGGAACATATGGCAACCATATTGGTGATGTCAGTGAATGTCACATGGCAGGAACACAGTCACTTATAGCACAACATTTACAAATGTATTCTTCGTGCAGCTATGATTAAACTAAAGTAAATATGTTTCCAGTAGGAGGTCTATATTTAACATACATTGTAAGAAAATCATCAAACACCAACTGTCTGGGTCATATCCCTATTTGGAGCTAAGAATACACAGAAAGATCTTGCTCTTTATTAATGTTACATAATCTTAGATAAGATGGTTTTGGGTGCATGGCGGAGGCATATTATCTAATAAGAAGAGAGGGTAATGAAATCTAGATCTGGATATAATGCCAGAGTGGATCAGAAACCCCATTTGCGACATGCAGACCTACAGGACCAGAAGTTAAAAAACAACCATCAAAAAAAAAGCTGACAAGCCGGTCAAAAGGGACTGAACACAGAGCATGTGCATGTAGCAAATAAAGAACTTCTACAATCAACATAACTGTGCCTCAGATTGTTTGGCTTCACTGCCCATCGCAAGTTTTGGTTGGTGTTTATCCCCTTTGACCTGCTTTCCATAGTTCCATAGCTTTATCCTAAAAGAGATATTACCCACATTCACACACTCACATCCTCTGCTCTCTATATAAAGTAATAGCCAAATCTATACCTTCTTAAGTACCTCAATAAAGTGAATAATTGTATATTTAGAATGCAATAATCTCCATTGTTTACCCGTTGTGGATCCAGCTCAATATGTTGCACAGGCTGAGGCTCAGCAAACAGCACCATCTCTTCAATGATGTGCATCTTATCGTTGGCGTTTATAGCTTTATGGAGCTTCCCGTCATCTGAACATCACAGGAAAACAGTTTTGTAAATGCAGCTGATGGTAACAGAGTCTCTGAGTCAAGCTTGAAGATGTACCTGTTCCAATAAAGAGGACATCATAGGCCCTCTCAATGCCCTGGATCTTATGCACCGCAATTTGTGTGTAGCGCACATTACGTTTGAGCAGGAGAGGGGAACTGCGGATCACACTGTCCATAAGGAAATGGTCCTTGACAAAGTTAAGTACTTTGTCCGGCATGTGTAGGGACGACTGAATGCCCATTTGCCTGGCATGATTCGTTACACACTGAGTAGAAGCAAATTAGTTAGTGGTGAAAATGCAAATAGTACTTAAATTATGAAGATGCACAAAAATGATATTTACCGCCCCAGGTCGAGGTTCGGGAATGGGATGATTGTATGTGTACCACTGCTGAGTTTCCCTATTGACCTCACGGTAGCGGCCACTAAACGCTCTTTCCACTTGAGCCATCGTAAAGGCGCACACTGCAGAACTGCCTGATGCTCCTTTGTACCTGAGCCGGGCAAAATCAGGTCAACGATTTGTTTTGTATATCGTCTTTCTTAGAACTACCATGTCATGTTACAACTTAAACAAATCTTGCAAATCTTCATAATAAGAAATAATAAGTAAATAATAAGAATGTATTCACGACTCAAACTACATCGAGTCGTGACTAAGCACACGTGACTTTGTGCCTGTGTCCTCTTACCACTGAGAGGTGAAGACGCCATAAAAAACAGTGCTCTCCCAGCTGTCTCCTGTGGGCTTTAGGACAAACATGTCTTGGATGATGTTAAAGGGAAATCCATCGTCGGGGAGGGAACAGAGGAGCTGAGCCTTTAGAAAGGTTGTCCACTTCTTCTGCAGCACACGCTCTCCGCCTTTGTCCCCCTGAAATTACAGATGAATATATACATTAACTCATCGACTGCCATTGACGTATTTGTCTGAGAGCGGTGATTTCTGTCAAACTTCCCTGTATTGGACTGGGGATTACAGGAGAACAAAACTAGATAGAAACCTAGTTATCTTTGCTGATAAAAGTAGACAGTCCAGTCTTTCGGAATCTGGTTTCATATTTCACATACTCATAGCAAACAATTTACTGTGTGTCTTGAAAATCAGTGAAATAATCAAAAACGGCTGGCAGTCATCGAGTTAACGTGCCAGTTATAACAGTCATGACAAAGACTGTGTCATCGAGTTTCTTTGTAGATTGATGCTTTGGACTGAGAGCTATTTTCTTTTACTTTTTTGTCTTAAAAAAGTTGATAATATGTACAAACTAGGGATAGACCAGAGAGCGAGAGTTAGCGAGGAACTTACAAAATAGATTTTATTTTTTGTGCTTTGAAAGTTCGATACCCCAGCTTTAAGAGGCATAATTGACATTTAAAACGACTTTATTCCACATGACATATTTCTATACTAACATCTGCACTAGGCAGTGTATGCCAGAAAACATTTCCTTAACAGACTTGCATCACTTCTAAGAAAAGTCCAAAACAAGTCACCTCGCCCAATCTCTGGATAATACTCATACTTCAAATCCAAAAGCCAATAGCTACTCCTCCACATGACGACTGCAGGAGGGACTCATAGCGGATCAGATAATAAAATGCAAACTAGTGTTTCCTCCCTTGAGTGTTGTTCACAAACCATCATCTGTCTAGAAGCCAATTACCAGGCTGGGGTAGTGGTAGCCTGTGTCCATAATGAGGAGAGCACATTCCTGCTCCCTCAGCTGTCCACTGCTATTGTTGCCCTGCTCCACTGCACAGCTTGTACTCTCAAACTGCACTGACCACTCCCCAAATAACTGCCCCGTGAAAATATCCCCCAAGCTGTTACCGCATCAGCCTATTTGACCTTAAGCACTTGAATGCACATTGGCTATGGCTGCATATGCTATGAGAAAACAATAGGCAATATTAGGTATACAGAAGTGGTGCCATAATCACTGTTCCTACACACTACAGTCCCATCACCGGACACCTGAATAAACAAGAGAAAAGAGGGAGTAGTGAAAACAGAGGGAGCGATAGGCCTGGGTAAAGACAACATCACAGAAGCGGAGTTACAAAACAGTAGTTCAAGTGTCATAACAGACAACAAGAGGCAGATTTATCATCTTCATAATAGAAATAACCATCAACCAGATGACATAACACGGTCAAGCTGTCATAAATATTAAACATGTAACCACATTAAAACATACTTTGGCAGGTCTCAGCGAAGAAAAAGGGAGTAAGCCGGGGCCACAGTTTGGGAGGGGCTCTCATACTTCTGCCCTGTTACCTAATCTTACTGTATACTGGGCGTGCTCACTCTGATGAATAATACAGAATAATCTTGAGTGTGTGAAAAGGAATAAAAAAAATGTGTTTGCAAATATAAAAATGTAAAGATCGATTTAAAAAAGCTGAGGAACCCAACTCCCTCCCCCCTCCTCACAGTTAAAGGTATATAAGAGGATTTTCCCAACTTTCAGGAAAGAGCCGCCTTCTCCACTTTTTGAACAAAACTCTCTTTTCTTGTTTGATGAGCACGTATCACCAGAATGATTGACACTGAGGAGGACCAATAGTTTTGATGATCCACCCGGAAGTAGAAAATCCTCCTAAATACCTTTAATAGAAGTTGTTTTTTCCCCAAAAGACGACTACCTGCTGTTTTGTTGTACGCTGTGAGTCATTATTTGACAGTTTGGGCTTTGAGCTCTGAGGGAAGATGGCCCTCTCTTTGATGGATCTAAAAATGCGCCACACGGCAAAAATACATGAAAACTAGTAATAATTTAGGGAGAACTAGTTACATGGTATTCATAATAGTTTCAGTATTGTCGTTTGAGTGATTTCACGCTCCTTTTGAGTGAAGTTTCGTGCGTCTTAAACCATTCCCTTCTCAAACTCTATAGAGACACAAGAACCCCGTTTTTAAATGTGTAGGCTCTTTATCTGGCTAATTATGCACTGGTGTAGCGACAACACCACCTGCCGCACTTGTCCTGCGAGCTGCCACTAAAAGAACTCTGTCAGTAAAAAGGCACCATGCCACATCGCCAGGAAATAAAGGATCTCTATGGAGGAGCAAAGGCCATTCCTCTGTCTATTGCACTGTTCATCGGTCGCTAGTTGCCACCGTTTCCAGGCCTCTCTGTCAATGACTTCCATATATAGCAGCCCAGGAGGTGCCTCAGTGGCTGCACAAGGTGTCAAGCCCAAGCACTGCAGGACTAAATCATTAAGCTGTCATTTAAGATTATATGCTGTCCCACCGATTACTCACATTACTGCCTCTGTGAACAAGACGCATCAGTCAGGGAAGGATGTTGCGCTCGCTTGTATCAGACCGTCATACACTTTTAATTGATCTAATGACAGGTGAAATTAGATAAGACTCCAGAGGTTATCGAGCAAGCTAGAGAGTAGGAAATGTTAGAATTATCCTTAAAGAACTTTGCAGGGTTTGCTTGCTCGACCAGGAACCAAAACACGCTTTAGAGTACAGCGAAGGGAAAGCATTTCATATAGCGGAGAAACACCCGTGAATACTAATAAAGCCGGCAAAGCTCAAAGTGCTGTATAAGGGCTAAAAGCTGGAGGGATGGATGAGTGCATTTGACATTGTGAGGCAGATCGGAGATGAACGGAGAGGACAGTGCATAGGGATACGACGCAGGAAGTGGAGGAGTAAGGAGGAGACTATGGAAAAGTCTGTTGAAAACATGTTTGTACAGTATAGCCACACTGCTCATGTATTCTATATAAGCATGACGTACATAAAAAAATACTGCTGAACATGCTTAGACAAGGGAGCGTCCTGCCTCTCCTGCAGCTTATTGTATCAGGATTAAAGAGTGGAAACTTAAGCTGGGTTCTGTCTGTAACTTTTGCTGGGCCTTCTTGCGTAATGACCTCAAACCAACCCCAGGACTTACTTTACACACGCGAGCAATCCGCGACACAATGGTGTTGTCGAAGAAGTCAAATTCCTTCCCCGCCTCGCTGAAGAAAAAGTATATCTTGTCATCATCTCCGACGGGGTTCCCTACCGGTTGACTCTCTTCAATGTACGCGGAGCCCACAAAGACCGGATCTGCCAAACCAAAAAAACAAGCAAGAATTAGACTTCTTAACAAAATAAAATAATACGTTTGTTAGAATGCACATACTTAAATGTTGTAAATAAAGAAAAGAAACGTGGCACAATGTATCATCATACCCTAAAGCTAGAGTAGCTAACTTTCAAACCTCAAATAAATATAATAAAATACAACTTGCTAGTTCCTTGGACTCAAAACAGTGTAGTTCTATCATTAGTTGTCACTTGGAAATATCGTTTGACCTCTAGATCTGACTTTTCAGGCAGTACAAGAATTTCTGTTGGAACAAACATAATGTATTATTTATGAACAAAATTAGGTACCCCAACTTTAATGTGGATCTACTTTTTTGGAGACACAACCTTTAATTACATGGGTGCAGTACGAATTACCTACAGATCAAAAGACAAGAGGCCTCCTAATTGTGCACAATCAAGACCCGCTGTGGAAACCAAGTGGCTGTGGTTGTTTTGATGTGGATGTGCTTCCTGTGATAGGAAAAACTCTGAGTGAGCCGAGCGTCGCTAATGATCACTCTGCATTTGGGCTTATCAGCTTCGTTGGCTACCTAATGGAAGAACCACAGTCATCTGATGTGTCCAGGCACTTTACCTTGTAGCCATTTTAAAGAGTTTTCTGTCTTTAGTGCTGCTGTCTGGCCCAAGCTCTTGTAAATGACCGGCTCGTTCCCCTGGAAGTTACTGACCGTGCCAGTGTACAGTTCTCCATCTGCAGAAGAGAACAGAGAGATCTTACTTTACTTCTTTTTAATATACTTTTTATAGAAGAAAAAAGATTTTAGCGCCTGGTGGCCGGGCCTTAGCCCACGGGGCCCGGCCGGGCTCAGCCCGAAGGGATGACGTGGGCAGTCCCTCCTGTGGGCTCACCACCTGCAGAGGGGTCCGTGGTGGCGAGGTGCAGAGAGGACTGGGCAGCAGTCGAAGGCGGAGACCTCGACGACCCAGTCCACACACCCAACATCTGGCTCTTGGGACGTGGAACGTCACCTCACTGGGGGGGAAGGAGCCCGAGCTTGTGGGGGAGGTTGAGCGATACCGACTAGAGATAGTCGGCCTCACCTCCACACACAGCTTGGGCTCTGGAACCCAACTCCTTGAGAGGGGTTGGACGCTCACCTTTTCTGGTGTTTCCCGCGGGGAGAGGCGGCGAGCTGGGGTGGCCATACTCATTGCCCCCCATCTCAGCCGCCACGTGTTGGATTTCTCCCCGGTGAATGAGAGGGTCGCGTCCCTCCGCCTCCGGGTGGGGGACAAGTCTCTCACTGTTGTGACGGCCTACGGGCCTAACGGTAGTGCCGAGTACCCGGCCTTCTTGGAGTCCTTGGGAGGGGTACTGGACAGTGCACCGCCCGGGGACTCCGTTATTCTCCTGGGGGACTTCAACGCCCATGTGGGAAATGCCAGTGACACTTGGAGAGGGGTGATCGGAAAGAACGGCCCCCCTGATCTGAACCCGAGCGGTGTTCAGTTGTTGGACTTCTGTGCCAGTCACGGCCTGTCCATCACGAACACCATGTTCGAGCACAAGGGTGTCCATCAGTGCACGTGGCACCAGGACACCCTAGGCCGGAGGTCGATGATCGACTTTGTAGTCGTATCATCTGACCTTCGACCGCGTGTCTCGGACACTCGGGTGAAGAGAGGGGCGGAGCTGTCAACCGATCATCACCTGGTCGTGAGTTGGATCCGCTGGCAGGGCAGGAGGCCGGTCAGACCTGGCAGGCCCAAGCGTGTAGTGAGGGTTTGCTGGGAACGTCTCGCTGAGCCCCCTGTCAGACGGACTTTCAACTCCACACTCCGGGAGAGCTTCTCCCAGGTCCCGGCAGAGGAGGGGGACATCGAGTCCGAGTGGACCATGTTCTCTTCCTCTATCGCCAATGCGGCGGCTCGTAGCTGTGGTCGCAAGGTCTCTGGTGCTGGTCCCGGCGGCAATCCCCGAACCCGGTGGTGGACACCGGCAGTAAGGGATGCCGTCAGGCTGAAGAAGGAGTCCTATCGAGCAATGATGGTTCGTGGGACTCCTGAGGCAGCTGTCCAGTACCGGCAGGCCAAACGTGCCGCGGCCCGGGCTGTTGCAGAGGCAAAAACCCGGGACTGGGAGGAGTTCGGAGAGTCCATGGAGCATGACTATCGGTCGGCCTCGAAGAGGTTCTGGCAAACCGTCCGGCGCCTCAGGAGGGGGAAGCAGTTCTTTGCCAACACCGTGTATGGTGCGGGTGGAGGGCTGCTGACCTCGACTGGGGATATTGTCGGGCGGTGGAAGGAATACTTCGAGGTTCTCCTCAATCCCCCCGTCACGTCCCCCGTCCAGGAGGCAGAGGCTGAGGATGTTGGGGCGGATACTTCCATCTCCCTGGCCGAGGTCACCAAGGTGGTTGGCAGCCTCCATGGTGGCAAGGCGCCGGGAGTGGATGAGATCCGTCCTGACTATCTAAAGTCTCTGGATGTTGTAGGACTGTCTTGGCTGACACGTCTCTGCAACATCGCGTGGCGATCGGGGGCGGTGCCAATGGAGTGGCAGACCGGGGTGGTGGTCCCTCTCTACAAGAAGGGGGACCGGAGGGTGTGTTCCAATTATCGTGGGATCACACTCCTCAGCCTCCCCGGTAAGGTCTACTCCAAGGTACTGGAGAGGAGGCTTCGTCCGATGGTCGAATCTCGGATTCAGGAGGAGCAGTGTGGTTTTCGTCCCGGTCGCGGAACACTGGACCAGCTCTATACTCTCCATCGGATACTCGAGGGTTCATGGGAGTTCGCCCAACCTGTCCACATGTGCTTTGTGGATTTGGAGAAGGCGTTCGACCGCGTTCCCCGGGGTGTCCTTTGGGGGGTCCTCCGGGAGTACGGGGTCCGGGGTCCTCTGCTGAGGGCTGTTCGGTCCCTGTATGACCGGAGCCAGAGCTGTGTTCGCATTGCTGGCAGTAAGTCAGACCTGTTCCCGGTGCATGTTGGCCTCCGCCAAGGCTGCCCTTTGTCACCGGTTCTGTTCACTGTATTTATGGACAGAATCTCTAGGCGCAGCCAGGGGCCGGAGGGGGTCCGGTTCGGGAACCACAGGATTTCATCTCTACTTTTTGCTGGCTCCAACGAACCAGGACCTGCAACATGCACTGGGACGGTTTGCAGCCGAGTGTGAAGCGGCTGGGATGAGAATCAGCACCTCCAAATCCGAGGCCATGGTGCTCGACCGGAAAAAGGTGCCTTGCCCTCTCCAGGTGGGTGGAGAGGTCCTTCCTCAAGTGGAGGAGTTCAAGTATCTCGGGGTCTTGTTCACGAGTGAGGGGAGGATGGAGCGTGAGATTGACAGGCGGATCGGTGCAGCGTGCGCAGTGATGCGGTCTCTGTATCGGACCGTTGTGGTAAAGAGGGAGCTGAGCCGAAAGGCAAAGCTCTCAATTTACCGGTCAATCTTCGTTCCCTCCCTCACCTATGGTCATGAGCTGTGGGTAATGACCGAAAGAACGAGATCGCGGATACAAGCGGTCGAAATGAGCTTCCTCCGCAGAGTGGCTGGGCGCTCCCTTAGAGATAGGGTGAGGAGCTCGGTCACACGGGAGGAGCTCGGAGTAGAGCCGCTGCTTCTCCACGTCGAGAGGAACCAGTTGAGGTGGCTCGGGCATCTGTTCAGGATGCCTCCTGGACGCCTTCCTGGGGAGGTGTTCCGGGCACGTCCCACCGGGAGGAGGCCCCGGGGAAGACCCAGGACACGCTGGAGAGACTATGTCTCTCAGCTGGCCTGGGAACGCCTAGGGGTCCCCCCGGACGAGCTTGAGGAGGTGTGTGTGGATAGGGAAGTCTGGGCGTCTCTGCTTAGACTGCTGCCCCCGCGACCCGGCAACGGATAAAGCGGAAGAAAATGGATGGAAAAAAGGTTTACATTTCCCATTATTTACAAACCTACATCATTATATAGACATAAATATAAAGACATTCAGACATGCGGCGGGCAGACATCTCTTTCTTTACATCTGATAAAAGCAATACATAAGGTTCACGGTACGAGCGAAATGTATTATCTTGAGTGTAGAATTTGAAATAATTTCTCCAACTCAATTATTGACTAATTGCTTGTTAAAGCAGCGGAACACAGCGTACAGCTATTTATCAAAAGAACATTGCAGGTAAACAACATCAGCAGGCCTATGATGACTCATTAGATAATCAAAGTCACAAAAACATCAAAGACATAGAGACAGCTGAGCCTATTATCTTGCATCAGCGTCATGAGAGATGATCAAGTCCTGAAGCATGCTGGGGGAAGTCACTCACCAACTATTATAGCCGTAGATTTGTACTCTGGATTAAAAGGGCACCGACTGCGTCCATCTTCAGTTACCACTTCTCCAACATCATCTCTCTCTAGTGTGAACGATGTTGTGTTCTGGAAACAAATAAGAGTCCAATTTACCTGTTTATTACTGCACTTATTGAGTCCAAACAGTGTCTTTGTTGAGACTATTACTGGTTGTTATTGTTCCTACAGTAAATTTGTGTTGTGTTTATGACCAGCCAGACCCTCTTCTGTCTGACACACATGAAAGCAGAATTATTATTGCATATTGTTAGATTGTGTGGGACATTGGTCAGACTATTGTCATGGTAGAGCAAAACAAAAACCCCAGCAGCACAGTATTTGGTCTTTTACCCGTTCTAAAGCCCCTCCTTCCAAGTTCAGCACATACTGTAGTAAATCCTCTGGCTTCAGTCCCACCCAGGGGCTACTGTTGAGTAGAGTGTGTAATAATATACACTGATTACGTACTAATAATAATAGGTTATACGAGTCCCCACAAGATGATGGTGTTAATGTTAATGTGTGCCTGATTTGGGATCTCACAACGACCTTGTGAACTGTTGAATAAACAAGTGCTTTTATTTTAAGTAACCTTCAAAATTCATATATATCTTCATGACGTTCTGCTTATGTATTATTTTCTGTCTCCTTTTGTGCAATAGTTGCCCTTTAGGACTGAGACAAATACAGCATGTACAAATGAAATATTATTCAATCATAAATATTACACAGCACTAGGGCAGTCATGGGCACACTGAAAAATATGCAACTTTGTTTAGACCAAACGGTATAGGCCGGGACGTTGCTGTTTTGCAGATTATTGTGTGTATTTTTGATATTTTTGTTTTACAGTGCTCTGTACTTTTTGTGCTATTTGATTTTATATGTAATTTATGCAATGTACGTGCTATTGTACATTAGTGTATATTTTATTCATGTATCCGGGGAGCGCAGATGGAAGCCTTTCAGCTTTAATCTGGTGCAGAACATTGGCCTTAGAGCTTAATGCATTGTCTCTTCAAGTAAAGACTAAAATAAACTAATATCACTTCAATACTTTTGTTTGTATGAAAAAAGATTGTGCAAAATACAATGTAAAATTTAAGTTGAGAAAAAACCATCTGGGAATCATAACGCTACTCAGCAAGTGTCCCGCGACCCCTACTTTGGGAACCACTGGTTTATATATTCACTTCTGAAGTCTGTATTAGGTCAGCCTCTTCTGTCCAACTTCACACAGTATTTAGTCTCTCGAGGAGTAAACACATGTATGCGCCAGTTGATTAAAGACACGTACAGTTCTGGACTGTGTCAACTTAAACGCTTGGAATTCAAGTTCAGGGCCTGATGTTCCGCCAAGACGTCTGCCTTCCAAGATATTCTTTGTGTTGCGACGTAAGAAGGGAAAGTTTAATGTCTGCCTTTAAGAGCTGAGTTGTCACCATGCTCGATTGCCCCCTATCTGTAAAATCGATGTCTTCCTGCTGCTACCATCACTCTGCAGCTAAACAAACAGCTGTCTGACTGGGGGCACCGTGGAGAACCAGGACCCCCGCTGTCAAGTCGGGGTTAAACGTCTCAATAGGACTTAGACACGAGAGCGAATAATGACATGTTAATATTAAGATAAAGAAACAAATGAAGCTAATGAGGTTCTGTTTGCCTGTGCATACAACCGAAGGATTTCATCTCTACTCTTTTAATCCCCGCAGTAGTTTCTGAAGGCATAAGTCGGAGAATCACTTACGATGTAGGCGCAGATGGGACTGAAGGCGTAGGTGCCGCACACGTAGAGGTGAGTGCTGTTGAGCCGCAGCAGGATTTTGATATAGTTGAAGCAATCAGTCTGGATAAGAAAACAGAGTGAGTGAAGCGGCTGCTGTGTTCTACCACACGCATACAGTTTAACAGCAGAGGCGCTTCAAAGACTATAAAACCCCTGCTTCAGCATTTTGTCTCTTCAGCTGTGAAAACAAATACAGAAGCCCTCTCCACAGATCCAAAACCTGTACTAGAAAGTGTATTTCTCTATTATTCAAAGGATATAGATATTTTTGACCTGCTTTATTGTATTTGATTAAACTAGATTCACACTGCACTTCGTGAGAATTTCAGACCAAATGGCGATTCATTCAATTTATTCAATGTAATTTCTTCACAAAATCACAAATTACAGATACATAGAGTTGCTTTAAAATCATTTGTGACACTATGAAATGGACGCCCGTGGATACAGAGCTTACAGTATGTCCAGATTTTCGGGGGTAAGAGTAATTATCAAATGCATTGTCTTAATTAAAGCCACAGTTGCTTGTAACTATTCAGAAATAACTTTAAAAGGTACTCTTTTTACAGTTGCTCCAAATGAAAAAAGACGTTAACCAATAACAAATGTGGGCTTTTTAAGAATATTTACCTCCACCATGTTTTTGAATTCTTGTCATAGGCTTAGATTTTGACTTATTAATGTCCATGAGAGCTGGAGGACTCTACATGTCGATGCGCCATCTTGAAATACAGTGGTTGATAAGGAACAAAAGGGAGTTTGACCGGGAGTTGGGGACCACTGTCAAAGATGACATTTTGTCCTGTGAAGCTACCGTAGTACCGTAAATTACAATTATGATCTCAACGCTTGATTGGAGTAAAAACAGTGTATCTTCAAAACCAAAATAATATTCTACGATTAAATATCCAGTAAAAAAACCTAGATCTACGACAATCTGGTTCAAAAAAATAAAATTGGAGAAATGGCCTGTGCTTTAAGATTTCTGTGTTGCATCAGAAGTTACAGAACAGTAAGAATGAGGAGCACACAACACAAGATAGAGAATATTAACGATAACAAAACTCAATACTTAATAAAATACAATCTCTGTCTTTAGCTTAATGAAGGAATAAAGTAAATAAACATCTATAGATACAACCGTGCTTTATTTCAAAGTAAAGATTGGGTTTCTTACCTGTAAACTCTTTCCTTTGAAGCTGCACTCCTCTCTCTTTCCAATGGGAGTTCCCCACGTCAGCTGGAGGCAGAAAGAAAGAATAGTTGAAGCCTCAGAAACGATGAAACAAGGTCAATACTGCTATCCCCTTTCATTTGAGCAGAAGTATTCCATTACAAACATGAGCACAGTGGAAAGTGCATGCATTTACCAAAGTTATTGAATTGTTAGTGGAATCTTTTTCAACGTTGGCATTTTTCTTAGAAGCAGAAATGGAATATAATTAGTTTAGTAACTAAACAAAATTCATGCTAAAACAAGACAGACTTTTGACTAAAATTACAGTAAATTTAAGATTAGCATGTAATTATCACTAGTTTTAGTCAGCACAATTCAATCAGTCAACTAAATCCATAATCATTTCTTGACCAGTATATATTCATTAACTTTGCATCGTGCATTTGTGGGAACTGTGCAGTAGTGTGTCCCAACCCCGGGTGTGCGGTCCTTTAGGGGTACTTGAGGGCATTGCAGGGGGAGTGATTATAAAAACTTGATAGTAAGAGGTTGATAGGCTACTAGGGAATGTTATACACCATCTTAAAGCTAATTATCTCAAGAGACCAACCATACAATTTATTGTATTCTAAATATTGAACCTAGAACACAATTAATGATAATAATAAAAGCCCCATCAGTCTGGTACAGGAGATACTTCTGCCCCGTCTACGCTGGTGAGGGAGAACACAGTACTGTACAGCCTAGGTTCCCAAACTTTTAGGCCCTAATGAATTCTTGGACATTGAGTTTGTTTATGGTTTGGATATATGGGACTGAAAAGTATAATGTAGATTTGGTCTTCACTAAATCTTTTCCTTCATTTTTGTTATCATCATCATCGTCATCATCATTGTTATAACTACAACATTATAAATACAACATATTTCTTATACTCTGACGCATCAGTAGTATCGCTACATCCTGGAGAAGTCTTTGTGACATGAAAAATCTGATTATAATTGCGCTATAAACTGTAACCGGTGAATATCTAATGTTTTATTCATAATTTTAACAGGAGACCATGAGCTCCAACTGGGCTGTCACCTCGAGTGAGTTATCAGTCCTACGTGGATATCTTTTTTTATCGTCATTAATTATTAACACACAATTAAATGAAGTTAATGACAGTTATTGATAACAAGTGCAAATAGTGTGATGTTTTTTTTTTTGCTATCCCAACCCCTCTCCCCATACCCTCCTCCTTCCCCGATTCCTCTCCAGACTGACAGAGTGTATACTACAGAATTATGTTTAGCTGAGAATATAGGGTAAATAATTAAAGGCAATTAAATCCACAAAAATGACGGATAAAACTCCTACATGGATTTAATTTCCACACATATCAAACATGTCCTCACGTTCTTCTGCAGGCCGCTGGTGCTGATGTTGGAGAGACTGAGTGCAAACAGTGTCTCTCTGGCCCCCACGTACAGCATGTCATCCTCCTGGCTCAGCAGCAGCGTGGTGTAATTGAAGACTCCAGCTGCTGAGAATCTGCTGGTTAACCTCTCCTTTGCATCTGCAACAACAGGCAACACACGAGGAGTTATCGTCACATACCAGCGCCGACTGCAGCGCACAGACTGACAAAACAATGCGCAATTACACTACACGCGGCTCCACACTGACTTTTTATTCCAGGAGGATGACAGTCAACAGAAAATAAGGGTATAAATTGCTTGATGTAGAGGGAAGTTGGATTTGAGTATACTTTGATTTAGAAGAAGATATGCAAATGGAACAAGCAAGGAAGCATATTTTGTCTTTTGTGACTTTACTTTACCTACTCATCTGTGCAATAATATCTTTAATAATGTCAGAATGTGCAATATAGAACCACATGTATCCACTGTTGCTCTACATAAGTCACTTTGTCCCATCATGCTGCTAACATGCACAGATTCATACACACAACTATATATATATTACTAATACATATTGTAGTGTTTCACATGTTGATTGTGTACTTGTCCCAATCAAAAAAAATAAAAATAAAATAAAACACAGTACTTTTTACTGCTTCTTTTTATGCCAAAGGTAGAGATTTTATACTTCAGTAATATGCTAGTCATAGTTTTTGTACTCATTATGCAAAAGATGGATATTCTATACTTGTTTCTTTTTGATGCTAGAGTTAGATATTTTATTTTATTTAGAATAGAGTTATTGTTCATTTATCTTTTACTGTGTGCTCCTCGATTCTACTGTTCTGTAACTTGAGATGCAACACTGACATTTCCCCATTACGAGACAGATAATCTCCCAATCTCTTAATCTGTGCAGCAGCATTTGTTTTCTCATGTAAGTGAAAATAAACCTGTCTTCTTCATTCAAACCAAGGCATTTACTAAAGCTGGGGTACGTAACTTTCAAACCACAACAAATGTAACTGTGTAAAATCTACCTGACTAGTTCCTCTCTCTCAAAAAAGTTCTTATCCATCGCTACTTTTCACATGTATGCACTGTATATTTGGCCTCTGTCACATTGTCAGATCAGCTTCTTCACACAGAACAGTGAAAAAGAGAGGACCACCTCCCTCAGCCAATCAGCTCTCAGCCCAAATCATCCAACAGTATATAAGTCAACATCAAATCCCTAAATAAGATGAAGACACAATTTGGTGGTTTGAACATTATACAAGACTCTTTCTGATGAACAAATGAAGTTAGGCACCTTAGCTTTAACTTTCTAGAAGTTTTGAGTATTCATTTGTGCCATGATATCATATGACAACATTACATTTTTGCTCACACAATTGTGGCTACTTGAATAAACACTTGCATGCAGGGGCAAAATGTCTGGGCGTGTTCTTTTGGGGGCAGTATGGAGCCCTAAAATAAATATTTCCAGTATCCATTTTCAACAACCCAACCCTCTAAATGCAGAGCAGTGTAGTTCACCGTACATACAGTAATAATTTCATGTTTGTTGCAATAGTCGCATAGTCAGTGACGCATGAATGAGTCACTTCCCTCAGTTTATGTTCTACTGAACTGATCCAAACCACATTTTGATGAAGGGGAAGTTTGATTTGAGCATACTTAAACTTGGAAGAAAATATGCAAATGGTACAAGCGGTGAAGCAGTTCTTTTATTTTCTTATTTCACCATCATTATCTATACCTGCTGCTCAGAATATTGTGGATTCTGACCTGCATGTTTCTGTTATATCTGTACATAATTACCTCCAGAACTGAACATGTTTGTTCTGATCCACATTGTAACCATCTCAATAAGCATGCATGATTTATATCTCAAGTTCTTACGCACTTTAACACACTTCATATAAAGAACTTTGTCTTCCTTTTTTTGGTCTGGGGGAATTGGAAGCAGGTAACGAGTGCGATCGCTGCTGCCTCTGTCTTCATTTCTCAACAATAAAATACATTAAAATGTCTATCCATCCATCCATCCATCCATCCATCCATTTTCTTCCGCTTTATCCGTTGCCGGGTCGCAGGGGCAGCAGTCTAAGCAGAGACGCCCAGACTTCCCTATCCACACACACCTCCTCTAGCTCGTCCGGGGGGACCCCAAGGCGTTCCCAGGCCAGCTGAGAGACATAGTCCCTCCAGCGTGTCCTGGGTCTTCCCCTGGGCCTCCTCCCGGTGGGACGTGCCCGGAACACCTCCCCAGGAAGGCGTCCAGGAGGCATCCGGAACAGATGCCCGAGCCACCTCAACTGGTTCCTCTCGACGTGGAGAAGCAGCGGCTCTACTCCGAGCTCCTCCCGTGTGACTGAGCTCCTCACCCTATCTCTAAGGGAGCGCCCAGCCACTCTGCGGAGGAAGCTCATTTCGACCGCTTGTATCCGCGATCTCGTTCTTTCGGTCATTACCCACAGCTCATGACCATAGGTGAGGGAGGGAACGAAGATTGACCGGTAAATTGAGAGCTTTGCCTTTCGGCTCAGCTCCCTCTTCACCACAACGGTCCGATACAGCGACCGCATAACTGCGCACGCTGCACCGATCCGCCTGTCAATCTCACGCTCCATTCTTCCCTCACTCGTGAACAAGACCCCGAGATACTTGAACTCCTCCACTTGAGGAAGGACCTCTCCACCCACCCGGAGAGGGCAAGGCACCTTTTTCCGGTCGAGCACCATGGCCTCAGATTTGGAGGTGCTGATTCTCAACATTAAAATGTTTGAATCCAAATACCCGCTTTGGTATGTTTTCTATGTTGTATGTTCATCCATCCATCCATTTTCTTCCCCTTAATCCATTTCTGGGTCGGGGGGGTGGTAGTCAGAGCTGCACCCAGTACACATAGCACCAGCCCCTCACTGATCCTCCTGCAGTGGGTGAGTCCACAGGAGCCTTGATCTTTCAGTGGGGGCTTCAGGCAGAGTGGGGTTAAGTGTCTTGCCCAAGGACACAACGACAGCAGACATCAGTGGGAATCGTGAAGTAGATCTTATGGTGGGCTCGAACCCACGACCTTCAGGCTCAAAGGCCAATGCTCTACCAACAGAGCCACTGTCGCCCCCCAAAAAAGTTTGACTGAACTGGAGAAGAGGATGAAGCCACTATTCTAAAGAGCCTTTTCTCTTTTCAAAATACTCTTTTGAGGAGCAGAGTCAGAGACCACACATTTTCTCTCTATTGCTGCGAAACTGCATATAGTCAAATTTAAAAAAGCACATTCCTGCGTTCGAGGTATTCCCCTTGAACAATACAGCATCATCCACACCAGCTTTTGACGGCTTTGAGCGAGTGATTGATTACAGAAGGGAATGGCATGACAAACAGGAATTTGGAGTTTAATGCAATGATGAGTTAATGCCAAATACTTCATATTCTCACTATAGGCAGCCATTTGGCAGTGATATATTTGTGCTACGTTCAGTCAGATATTTCAAGCTATAGCCAGTTTTAAGCAGCTTTGAAAATGTTTATCCATTTCCATCCTGTCCAAACAAATTAAAAGAATGTGCACAGAGCTCCCATGCCAAAGTGCCAAAGGGCCATGGACGCTTTTTGCTTGTCTAAATAAGATTACTGGGTCATAAACATAGATATTTACAATAAGAGTTCCCAGTCTCTTGCTACATTCAAATTCTGATATAATAGCTGTTTTTTCTGACACACACCAGGTGGTACATTGAACCATCAGGCAAATGTGGCCAGTAAAAAGCAATACACACAACCGAAACTTTTTATATGCTGCAAACTAATCGTGGCTGTAGCACTCGAGGCACTTCGGCAAATCAACATTTTCTCCAGTAAAACACAGCTGCTCAAACTGTGTCTTGTTAAAACAAAAAAACCCGATTTAAAGCCTTTTCCACATCAGCAACCCTCAAACTAAAAATGTATACAATGGCACGTAGATTCAGTGACTGTACAATAATTCACTTTAAGTCACTAACGCACTAGGACTGACGAATTTGCACTGCTATTGCCACTTTTTCTTTAATTGCCACTTTTTATTGTACATAATTAAATCCTGCACGGACAATATTTTCAACCTTTAACATGTTTGCACACTTCTGTCTTTTGCACAATCTGAGTGATTCCGTCTATGCCAAATGTGACATGTACATTTCTCAAGAGTGAGATCAATAAAGTCTATCTTATCTTATAATGACAATGTTATGACTTCAAAAAAAGTAAAAAAGAAAAAGATTTGAGGTACTTTTTCATATATAATACATTTTGTCCCAATAGAAACAAACTAAACTTAAGATTAAGATTAAGAGATCCTTTATTTGTCCCACAGTGGAGAAATTTCAGTGTTAGGGTTATAGAACAGTAGGAAAGAGGAGCACACGGCACAAGTTAAGTGAACAATAGTAATACTAATTATACTAATTAAAATAAAACAAAATCTCTAACTCTAGCATCAATAATAAGTATAAAATCTCTATCTTGAAAATAAAAATAGATGTAAAAAGGAAAGGAAAATATTGTGAACAAATCAAACCACAATATTACAATTATTATAATACAAATATGCAAAATTATATACATTTGTTGCATGGATGTGAGTCACTATTTTGTGACGCGTTTATCGATGTGTTGCCGGAAAGTGTATCCAAAGCTGTGACAGAAAACAAAAATGCATGTGACTGCTCCAGTGTTCTCTGAGAGCTACAAACTTGTTTATACGTTTTTTTTTATTACAAAGTTAAAGTTAGATGCCTATGTTTTGAATGCCTTTTTAATGATCATTTAGGGAGCTTTACGTCGTCACCCTCTAGATCTCGGACAAAAGATGGCCATTCTTCCCAACGGGGAGATGCATCGCAGCCCAACTGTCACTGATCCCCCGGGCTTTGGCCCATTGACGTGCACCAAAGAGCAGCCATCTCTCAGCATATTAAAAGTCACTGGCATAAATCACAATGACATCTCTTAGACAGACAATGGAATAACGAGGCCAGGGGAACAAACTTGAGAAACTTTTTTTTACGCAGGGAGCAGCTGAGGCCGTTTACGGGGGGAGGCAGTGGTACTTGTTGGGAGTCCAGGAGGGAGTTGTGGTAACTGGGAAGACCGGAGCGAAGGCAAT